CATACTCAGAGACAGAGGCACCAGACCTGGCATCCTACTGACGTCTGACTCTTCAGAGCTGAAGAACAGGACCTCTCCATTAGGTCGTTCCAACTGACACCTTCTGTCTGGTACTACTGAAACCAGCACCATGGCTGAAGTTTTCCAAACCCTTTCACAGTCATCTATGCTACCTACAGCTATTCCCAGAACTTCTGTGATCCAAGCTGGCTTCACCTCCCCTTCCCACGTCCCTCACTTGTTCACTCCATAATATTGGAAAACCTTTCACTTAGGGAATGCAGTGGGTTGATACATACTGCACGATGTCCGCAAAGGCGGTGAGCAATGGCTTGCACTGGTACTCAATACCATGTTTGGCACACAGGGACTTCACCAAAGGGGCCACCTTCCAGTAGTTGTGTCGAGGCATTGTAGGAAAAAGGCTGTGGAAAAAGAATATGGTGATTCAATAGCATCCACCATCACCCCACAGAATTCCTGTCACTCTTCTGTGCCAAAGTCTGGGAGTGCCTCAACCTTCCCTTGTGCCCATAGCTATTAGTGCTCTGTAGTGGTCCCTCTCACGTCACTTCCGTCAGCATCTGTACTAACCAGGAGGCTGATCATTCTCACTCCTGTGCCATCCTCTTCATATCTGAAGTGGTGTTGGTGCTCACTGGTGCTCCAAAAAGTTTCCTGGAGTTCCCATTCCATCCCCATATAAAGAGCACAAAATTTACCCACGTTATCTTTCGTTCTTGTATTAGCTGAGAGAGAGAGAGAGAGGGACCCTGTAGGCTCTTCAGACCTAGTTTAACTAGCACTCCTTGAAATTCCCTCACATCCCCAACCCATGCTTCAACTCACTGGTGCTCAATTTGGAAGTTCAGATGTCCACTAAACCAGTCGTTGAATAAGGACTGATGAACATTACAGGTTGCCTGGAGCTGAGAGAAAAAACAGTAACATTTAAGTGTTGTTTTAGGAATGCCCCTTCTCTTACATGTGCCAAACACAACAGTAAGCAGGTAAAAGTTCCTTATCATCACAGGCCTTCTGACTGAACACAGCAACTCCAAGAGCTATCTCCAGCCAACATGAGATGGCCATGCTGTGATACACAATTGTTAGGGCCATAATTTAGGAGAACAGACTTGACTCCCCCAGTGAGATAAGCTATAACAACCTTAAAAAACTTTGTAATGGCTTCAGAACTAAAATAAGACAGAGCACACAAGGGAGATCTGCATCCTTCATGCACAGAAAGCTCTCTTATCTGAAGAGCATTGTAGCATCTCTACTTATTTTCCTGGAGGCATCTGTGCTCAGCATTTGAAGCCTCCATCCCACTTCTGCACCTTTTTTCTTTGCACTAATCACTCACTTCACACGGTGAGGACAAGCTGCTTACGATTTCCTCTCTCAGTTCCCATCACTTCTGTGATCAGCTCTCTTGGGCATTGCATACCCAGAACTATAACTTCTCACCTTCAAAGTCGCTGGAAAGAGGTCTTACCTGGGTAGAGAACCAGTCCACATTCTTATCATAATCAATGTGCATTGGGATGTGATTCATTTGTGTAATCCAGACAAACCAGTTACTCTCTATAAACCTGTGCAAACAAAACCATTACTGATCTCACACCTATGCCATAACAAGTCAGTACAAAAAACATGTACGCATACAAGCTAGTTGTTGCTTGATAAAATGAACCCCAAACATCTGGTCAGCAGATCAGACCTACACACACCTTCTACACGGACACTTTCTACCTTCTAAAGACATGTGCCCCACAGACAACAACCTCTGTCTTGCTGAAAGGCATACGGAGACAGAAGAATAGGGAGACGATGAGAAAGATGACCAGGAGGCTGAAGAAAAGCTGACACGAAGGATCAATAGGAAGTGGGTAAAGAAAATGGAGGAATTATAAGTTGAATGATACCTGACTAACAGATGAAGCCCCAGGACACCCTTCACCCCCAGTAAGGGCAAGTAGGTGAGAAAGAATCGGACATAGAAGGTCAGCATCCAGGCCAGGTCCTGCAGCACGGGGAACAGATAAAACTTCATTAAGAATTATTTGCTTCTGAATTTACAATCCACTCTATGTGGCACTCCCTTTAAAACCTCCCCCAATATCTTCTACTGACAGATTTTTTCTCCTCAGCCCCATCACAAAGCAATCTGACATGCAGCCACTCCCCAGCCATTCCTGTGCTTGGGAATTATCCTTATGAGGTCTTATGAGCCCAGCACAGAGGAAACACTAGAGGGCATGCTCTGAAAAGCATCGCATTTTCCTCCAGATCTAAGGAGAAAGAAAGCAGTGAAAAAACCCAAAACCTAGTCAATTAAAAGAATAAGGAGCTCTGGTTTACGTCCATCACATGCTTTTTTGTTCCTCTTCACATTCCTTGCAATCTCTTATTTCCCTCATGTTCATTTTCTCCTGACTGTCCCATTCCCAGGCAAGAATAAAATGGCAAGATACCCTGTCTCTAACCCACACATCTCAGAGACAAGACGTCTTTTTTCTGCATTTTTTCTAAGGTCTCCAAAAATCACGCTATTCCTCAAAGTCCTAGATCTTCCCCTAACAAAGTGTCTTCCTAACAACTTTGAAAGTCTACTACAGATCCCCTATTCCACTTCACACTGGACTCTGAAGATTCAGTTTTAGGCTACCTGAAAGCTACTTGATTTTTAATATATCATTTTGCAAGATGGAAGCGCGCTGAATCCTCCTCCAACCCCCCTGATTTCTGCTACTTTTCCTCTTTTTCTGTACCCAAAATTTTTATTGTATTGGTCTGGGAAAACAAAAGCGTGATCAGAATGATCACTTCTACCTTAAACTAGACTCTCACGCTACCTGAAGGACAAGCTCTGTATGAACATCAAGTCTGTAGAAGAAGGAATGCTTCCAGATGCTCACACACCCTGGACGGAGCCAGAACATCAGCGAACATCTTTTGTTAGCCAACTGCAAATGGATCTTTTACAGAGAAAGGCTGTGTGGAAGGCACCCCCTCTCCCCCAGCAAATGTTATTTCCCAGATCATATACCCACACGCCTTTCCACAGAGACACACAGCTCCAAATTCCTCCCAGTAATTTCTAGTACTGGAATGTATCCGTAAAACAAGGAGAAGTCACTATTCGCAAAGTGGAGCTGACTTACCACCCACTGTTTCCGCTGTACCACAAAGTAGAATATGTACCACTGGAAGTAAAGAGGCACCAGAGCTGGGGGACCAACTAGAGTGGAGAAATAGATTGCAGAGACATTAACTGTGCCCTTTTATCCCAGAAAGACGGACTGGAAAAGGAAGGGGTTGAGTGAATGTTGTCCATACAACTGTGAAAGGGTAGGGTTACTCACTGATGAAGAAGTACTTGTGCTGGTGGTTATAAGGCATGAATTTCTTCTTTTGTACACCAAGCTGTTAAAATAAGCAAATTACTCAGGCTGTGAAGAGAGCCAAGACATCTGTGCATACACTCCTACCTATACCTTCAAAGAAATTCAGACTTAGATACCTCCTAACCTTCGAAAGAGATTTCCTGTCAAACCATGTCAGCATCCACCATGCCATTGGCTTCATCGTCCCCTTAGAAAGTCAGTCTATGACTGCTATGGTAAATTTTCATCCCTAACCACAGGAGGCAGTGAGAAAAGTTTGCTGCCAATATAGAGCTTCAGAAAAAAAAAAAAACCAAAACCAAACCAAAACCCATGATACTACTGACAAAGATGACAGCGTGTAGAACTCCCACCTACTTGCACTTAGCCTCCAAAGCCGAGAAATGAGCATCTAGACATTAAACTGTGTCCCCAGGAGCAGGGGTGAATAGATTATCCTCCCTCCAAGACTGTTAATGTTTCAGTTTTCACTGTATAAACATAACAGATCACAGATCACCACTAACTTCCTTGAGGAACGCAGCTATATCCCTGTACATGTACAAACCAATTCCGAACAGCGGCCCTCCCTTCATTTCAATGCAAATCAGAGCATTTGAGCCAGGTGACACTATGAATTTACATAACTATTTTTTCAAAGAAGTGGCAAATGCTAAAGCCATTCAATTAATTTCAGAGTTGTACCAGAAATAAAGTTGGACCCCAGATGGGACCCAGTCTGACACCCACTGTCAGACTGTGACCACTGAAACAGCTTCTTTGATCAGTAATTGTAGAAGTTCCAGACGATCCTTGCTTGTCATCTGCTGTTTCATTTCCCAAAACACTGCAATCAGTCAAAGCCAATCTTGGTGAAGAGAAGAACTTGTAATCTTGTTTTCATACAAGTGCAAGTCTCTCATCAGAGAAATATGAACTTGTGACAAATATTTCATTCTTATTTCAAAACATAGCAAAAATAACTTCTGTTGAAATTTTAAGAATATAAAAATCTAAGAAGCATTGAAGTATTACTACGGAATATTAGGGACTAGAGGAAGGCAAAGTAGTGCTATATAAAATAGCAGGTCAACTCAAACCATTTTCTGGATGTACTTCTCATTTTACAGAAGCCGTTTCGGTGGGGTTTTTTAAACCTTCAGAACAAACTTGGAAAATTTCAACCCATAGCAAGACTGTACTAGGGCAAAAAACATAGAAAAACCAGTTGCAACATTAAGTATATGGAAGCTAGTGATGCATCAGGATCTTTTTTCTTCTTGTTTTTCAAGCCAAGCTGCACCTTCTCCAAGTTTCTGAAATACTGAGATAGCTCACTGATCAAACCAACTGGTCACTAGTCTCTAAGCTCTCTGCAGCTTTCCAAATTCTAATCCTAATGCTGTAACCTCCCAGCCTTCACCAGGTCTCACCTCTACAGAAAGTGTTTTTCCCAAAGCAAAAAATAAGGGGTGCATGTTAACATCAGGGTCCTTTCGGAAGCAGTTGGGTTTAGCATGGTGTTGGAAGTGGAGGTGATTCCACCAGCTGGCTGGTGCTCCCTGCGGGAAGGAATGAGAAGAGAGTGTCGTAAAGAAGTTGTATCTTCTGCCCTTAGTCCTCCCTCCCCAGTAGCTCCTTCCATTTGCTTTCTGCTTATACTGAGATGGGTTTTGACTGCAGAGCATCCCAGGCAAGTCTGTAGCAGTCCCTCTCAGCACTGAATGCCCACCTTCAGATGGCCGATCACAAACTTGTGCACCCAGTGGTTCCATCTGGACTTGCTAAAGACTGAAAGATGTCCAAAATCATGCTGGAGCCAGCCAGCCTGGGCCTGGAAATAAAAAAAAAAAACCAAAAAACAAAAAAACACCACAAAACCACAACCAAAAAAGCCAGTGCTGCTGGGGAAGAGTCAGGAGTCCTTGCAACAGAAAAGGGCTTTCTCTTCTCCCACTCCCACGCTCCTCGCAACACACCCCTGCATAGTGAGAACACTTCCACTACTAAAACCCAATCCAAACACTTCTCTTTTACTATATACCAGTGCAGTCCAGACTTTGCCTAATGACTTTTAGTCCCAGATAGTTGTTTCCATGAGGAAGGAAAAAAATCATGAGGAAAAAAAAAAAAAAAAAAAGGCATGGAGCTCAGAAACAGCATTTATTCCCTTACAAAACTGCACTGAAATCAGCAACAAAGTCTCCTTTAAGGAGCAGCTTGCTGCTGCCTCCTCCAAGTACTTGTAATTCCAAGGGAATCAGCTGGCCACAGGAGAAATAGCTGGGGCTTTGAGAGCCGCTCTGCCCTCTCCTCTAAGTCGCTACAAGTTCCCATGGGAACATGGTGGCTTGGCCCCTGCACAGTGCCTTGGAGTTCTGGCACAAGGGACCACAGAAGCGTAGCATGGCTTTCATTGTATGAAGAAGGCTGGGAATAAGGAGGGCTTTGACAAACTACGGGAAGGAAAAAGCAGGGCAAAGCCTGCTCTACTGAAGAAGCATGTCATGGCACTGTAATTTTGCCCCTTTGGTGGCACCCAGGGAGAAGTGGGATTTTGGGAAGTCCACGAAAGTAAAATTTCTCCTGTGCTTATGGCAATGAGAACCTAAAGTCCCAAAGGACCTGCTTTTGGTGTTTCTGGGACTTCTTTTTGCCTAGCTGCTTACCTGGACAGTGCCTAGAAGCACTGCAGAGAAGAGGAAAGGCACTGTAGATGCTCCAAAATACCAGATCGTGAGCCAGGCTGCAACATCCAACACCAAGATGTGACAGAGATACAGGACGAAAAAGGTGCGGTTGGGGTTGAGAAGTCCCATCTTCTCGACAGTTGCACGGAGCTCACGGAAATCTTCTACCAGCTTTTTCTGTGGGGAGACCCAAGAGTATCTGCTGGTCTGAAAATGCCTCAGGAACCCAAACAGGAGCTCAGTTTCCCCTCTCAAGGAGCTACTGTGGCAATGGGGAAAAGCTGAGGGTCACCTGTAGACAAATCTTCACTAAGAATACTAATAATGACACAAAGTCAAGGGGACGCTTCAGACTGACCCACTGATTCTAGGAGATACTGTCATTTTATGTACAGGGAATTGTGGCTGCCAGTAAGAGATGTTAAATAGCACAATTTCAATGGAAATATCAAGTTTTTAAGATACTTACATTCTTACTGGGCTCAAAGCTGGGCTGATCTGGTGCCAGCTCCCCAATTAAGAGTGGGCTCATGTACTTTCTCACTAGTGCCTTGTCAAGATGAAATGCTGTGAAAGGATCCTGAAATACAGATATAGGAACAGGATGAGAAAAACGACCGTTCAGGTGGCAACAAAAGAAATGTATTTCATGATATCCTGGAGTCAGCAGAAAGCAACCCAACTAATGGAGCTGGCTGAACCAGATTTTACTGCCACAAATCTTACTGCTTTCTTCACACCATAAATGATCATTTGAAGCTGAATTCTCTATATCATTTTCTATCTGGACACTGTTAAGTGCAGATCACCAAGAAATATGGGCTCACTCCTCTCTTACTTCCAAATCTGAAAATTCCATATCCTCTTGAACCTCAAGATATATCATCTCAACCACACAGGCTCTGTCTCTATTTTGTCTTCAGCTTCCATCTTGTTCTTACTCAGGCCCAATATCCTGAAATGAAAGTCTGCCTAGGGAGAAGGGCAAGATGTCAGCACAAAAACTGCATCAGCCAGCTGAACTGGGTAAAAATAATGGGACAAGCAGGACACAGGCAGGTGATGGCAGCTTCTGGTGACCCACACCAATCTCTCAAAAGCCCCACACTGCTCCAAACATGCTTCCTCAGCAATCTCCAATGCCCACCCTGCCACATTTTCCTAGAAAAGTTTTGTTTTCTTGCTACCTGCCTCCTGTTCCTCACCTGGTTCCCCTCCTCGTTTCTGAAGAGTCCCATGGAAAGGCCTTTTTTTTTTTCCTCCTTACCATTCAAAAGATCCCTGTTAGGGAAATCAGTTACTTTTATCATTTAAATGCAATGTCAACCTCTGTGACAACCAGGCAGCCAGGTGAAAAAAATCACTATGGATTGATTGTTATCGCTATAGATTCTATCACTGTATTTAGACTACAAATCTCCTGAGCACACATGGCTGGCATTTTGACATCTGCTTCCTACTGAAGATTTACATTTACCTTCTTTTGCATATTTCTCTCCCTGTGTCCAAATTAGCATATACTTTACAATCTCCCTCAGCCTAAGGATGCTTTTTTCTTTTCTGAGACAATACTTGCCCACTGCGCATCAGTTTGGAAGCTTGCTGCACCATGCACTGTTCAGCACTATAATTACTAGCTCATCATTGCATGCTTTTAAAATAAATTGTCCTTTTAAAAGATCTCTAGTCAAGAAAGGGGTTAAAAAACCCCGACAATGTTGCCAGCTCTGGGTCAGCCCTGTTGTACTTCAGATGTAGCATCCTCTCTGCCCAGGCTTCCGTGAATAAAGGAGGGAAGGAGAAGAGGGGAATGTACATTTGCATTTTCTCATTGGAAGAGGAAAAAAAAAAAAAATAGGGAGCATACGTGGGCAGATCAGAGGAGGATGGTACCACACCATTTAGACCAATCCTTTCCATGGAGGCTGTAAAACCTGGCAGTGCAATCCCAACAGGAGGTTAAGTGACCGCTGATTGCACCTTCTAGAAATCAGAACACTCTAGTGGCATTCAGCAAACTAGGAAAAAAAAATAAATTCTTGACTTTCCTTTTTTTTTTTTTTTCTGGTTTTGAGGAGTCTGATTCCAGGACAAAACTTTTGTAAAATTTGGAATTTACTTGGCTCAGGTTCCTGGGATGTCAGCAGTTCAATTGCACCCAGCAGCGACACAGATGATAACGCCTAAAGAATGCAGTTGGCTGCAATCTGACCATCTAACTGTGCTCAGCCGTACGCGCTGCCCACTGTGACCGACCCATTTCTGATCACACAATGCCAACGGGGCTTCGAAAGCGCACGTGGGCATCCTGACCTCATGAAGCATGTGCAAATTCACATATTGTCTTCGGCTTTACATTATATGCATGCAGGAAGGAAAGCAAAGGAAAGCACTAGATCTCAAGTTCCATCCTTTCTGGTCAGAGACAAGACTGGGCCGAAACACAGTCCGTCAAAACCAGTCTTGAGGTAGCTTCAACACCCCATACCTGCCCTTGGGTCTAAATACTTAGGTTTGGAGAAAAGCATTTTCTTTTGTGAAAGACATAAGCAGGGGAAGGAAGGAAATGCACTGACAAAATTACCCCATGCCCTGCTGCCAATTCAAACGTTTACAACGCTTTGCAACAGTCACTGGCATTCAGACTACGAATGAGTTTTGGTCTGGTTTTTTTTAAGAGACTGAAATACGACTTTCAGTAATATTTTGCCCTAGTGCCACTTCTTGGAAACACGGTGCTGGCTTTTTAAGGTTAGAGGAGGCTGAATGCATTTGCATGCTTGCAAAAAAATAAGCACACACCATCAATACCGGGGGTGTTTGTGTTCAGTTCTGGCCTGTGGCTGGGCATGTGTCACACGAGGAGCATTCTTACTTACTGCACGCGTGCAAAAATTAGTGCGTTTCTTGCCCCAGATTTATGCCCGGTGGTGGGCACCCTGTTTGCGCACGCTGTAGTTACTCCTTCAAAAACGTTGCCTGCTCCAAGCAGCCGCCCGGAACCCCGCAAAGCTTGCATGCCGCCGGT